GCGATTCCAATTATTATTGTGGTGGAAAAGATGTCTTTTTCTTCAATATTAGATTAATTATGCTTTTTTTTTTGTTTTTTCTTTCGTCAGATTGGTCAGACTTCCTTGTTTCTCTTTTTTTTCTAATAGTTATTTTTTTTAATAGTTTTTTTTTAATAGTAATAGTTATGAAAATTGTTAACAATTTTTCTGTGAAGGAAAGAATGTCAGAGACACCTTCTTTAGTCCATCTGTATTTACATAATTCCTCGAAACCGCTCAACAAAATTTCCTTGTGCTTGTAAATCATCAAAAGCATCAACCGATGCAGTCTGAGCCTAATCAGAAAAATTATGGCTTAACGTTTTCACGAATTGTTTAGTTTACCAGGCTTTGTGCTCACCGCGCCTCAGTTCTATTTAGCCCGAAATCGATTTCGCACGACAACGAGATTTCTGAAAATTGTACTGCACTGCCTTACTACATGGGCTGTGTGAATTTCAGGTGTTTATAGATGTTGATAAATTGTATGCTGGGAAATTTGACTCATCACTGTTGAAAAATATCCAGGCAGCGAAGCACTTCATTCTCGTTTTGACACCAAATTCACTCGACAGGTTGCTCAACGACCACAACTGTGAGGATTGGATACATAAAGAGGTATTTTTAGCACTCTGACACAAAACTTTTTAGTTTGCTTTTTACGATAAGCTCAGACACTTGTTCCTGGTCAGGGCTGCTGCACTTTCACTAACAGCAGCTAAATATTGGCACTGCTACCAGTCCTTCTTGTCTTCCGGTGCCATTTGTATTAATCTCAGTTTTTCGTTGAAACGGTTCACTGAAATAGCCTGTACCAAAGTCGTCTGAAAGACAGCACGAGTTATTCGATGGGAGGAAGACTCCTTGTCATATGCATCTGCGAAACTGGGTCTAAATCAAAGTCAAAAATCCCTTCATAATCACTTGCTCTGAGTGGCGCCAGCACTCGGGAAGTAGCTCAGATGGAAGCAAATGCCAGCAACAACCATCTCTGGCACGATCGCCGATGAGTTTCTCTTTCGTGTTTGCTCCAAAACAGGCTGATGGCGAGTTTCGTTCTCAGGCATACGCCAGAAACAATTTACCATCGAAATGAATGAAGTAGTCGAAGGATTAGTTTTCCCACTGACAAAGTCAAACCTCCGACCGATGCGCGACAATAGTGTTACTTTCTACTGCGCCATACTCACCGGCTGGAATCGAATATCGGCCCAAAATTTGAAAAAAATTTTTTTTGAAAATCAGTTTATGCATCGTTTGATTTCCTCGCTTTGCATTCTCACTTAGAGTATTTGGGATAATTGAAGTTTATAACACTATTATTCAGTTGTTCAGTTGGCAACTTCTCATTGGTTTGATCTAGTGCTGCTTTACCCTTTGGGCAGCCTGCTGGCTAATTTACGTTCACCATATTTCTATTCCCACTATTTCGTCGATTTCGATTCTCACTATTCCCACTATTTTATTTCAGTTACGATGTGCCTTTGATCATCACAAAAATGTGATACCAATATTCGACCAGCATTTCGATTTTCCGGCTGACACCGACTTGCCAGCGGATATACGGCATATTACACGGTATAATGGTGTGCGATGGGTGCATGATTATCAGGAAGCGTGCATGGATAAAGTGGAACGGTTCATAAAGGGCGAGCTGAATCGAACACCAAGCATCGGTCAGCAACAACAGGTACCATTCATTTCTTACTTCTTTCTGCCTCTCAAAATACTTTTTTGCTGTTAAAATAAAATACCCAGCAAAAATAATAATAATTTATAAAAATAGTTAAAATACTCAAAAAGGTCATAGAGACAATCAGTCGAAAGTCAAAATCCTGTAGAATTTTACTTCTATGAGGGACGGGCATTTAAAATATCTTTAGTAATTAAACTGTCGCCTATAGCACCGCCAGCGGTTCATTTTTCTGCTGGTTGCTAAGAAGCAAGCTGATGGCGGTTTTGACTCCTGTCATGTCATATGCGTGTGTATCAATCTACCATCGAAGTGATTCAACTGACTGTGAAGGGGCTGGATTTCCTATTGGTGAATTTCAGAAATACGCGTAAGAAGCTGCTTAAACACTGCGCAAAACTCGCCCCTAACAAGAACAGGAAATAAGTTAACAAATTTTAAATATTTTTAAATTTTAATTTAACCAGCTCCCTCATTTCACTCTTTAAGAGAGACTATGGCATTCGTCTATGACTCCGATGCATCAAGAAATTTTTCAAAAAATTTACAAACATAGTGCGAGCTCAGGTGTCGGTGACATCCAGTACAAGTAGTGGTACACCACAACAGCGTAAAACGTCAACACGTTGGTCAACTGTGAAAACAACGCAGAAATGTTCGGTATCCAGGCAAACACAAAACGAAGCGCCAAACAACCACCACTGCATGGTAGTCATTTTGAATTATTATTGTTATTATTATTGTCACTATTTTTATTGTTATTACCTTTATTATTATTATTATTATTATTATTATTATTATTATCATTATTATTGCTGTTTCTATAGCTTCTGTCCACTGTACTGCTTCTCTAATTTTGCCTTTTACTTTT